CAAAAAAACAAAAAAAATAAAAAAAAAGGAGAAAAAAAATGGAGGAAAACGTGTAAAGGGGTCTATATCGCTTACTCAACTCGTACTGCCCCTAAAAGAGAGGCCCCTCGCACCCCTTTTCACCTTCGCTTGCTTTTTCTTTTTTGCCCTCTCTTTGGCGAATTAAAAAACGTTTAACTTCCAACAGAACTGATCGTCGCGCTTCCTAAAAAGAGAGACATTCTCCTTCATAAGCTTGTCTATGCACTCAGGAGGGGCATCAACGTTGGTTAATTTTTTGCACGAATCCATAATGTCCACATAGGAGTATTTCTTCCTATTTTGCGTGTTGCCGCTGGCACCGTTGTCATTGGTCGCGATGCCTACGCCGACAATGCCACCATTTACAGTGGCGTCGTCCACTTTGTTCTTATTCTTTGGAGCCTTCTTCTCGTCCGAGTTGACTGCACTTTTGTCTTTATTAGTGGCAATTTTGTTACCGAAATTTTTCTTCGCAGCGCCGATTCTTGGGGATAATCTGTTGGAGTGGTCCTTGCCATCATTGCTACCCGGCTGTTCACCTTTTGCATAAGAATCCTTTTTATTTTTTCTCTCCACGTTTACATCACCATTCTGGTTGTTACTTTCTTCACTCTTTTCGACTTCGGTGCATTTTCCATGTTCCTCCTCATTATGATTGCTGTCCTCAGTGTTCTTCTCTGCGCTGGCGTCATTTTCGAAGTCGCTCTGCGCTTCCTCCGCTTCATTCACTTCTCCTGCTTCGCTCATCTCGAGTGGTTTCTTCCTCTCGTCTTTCATTTTGGGTACCTCGTTGCTGCCCAAGTCTGTGGACACAGCAGCCGAGTCGTCCTTCTTCTTGTTCTCGCTCTTCTTATCTCCGCTTTTCCTTGCGCTGTTTTTTTTATTATAATAATTTTTTCCACTCTTCTTTTCCAACTCTTTGTTTTCATTTTTCGCCAACACGCCGTTAGTACCGTTACTGTCGTACCTCACGAGGGGGTCCTTTTTATTAGGCTTGTTGTTGTTGGCCATGAGTTTGCTACCGCTCTTACTGTACTCGCCGTTCATCTTCATAGCGCTCTTACTATTACTGCTGGAGTTGTTGCCACTGCCTCCGCTTGCACCGCTTCCCGTGCCTCCTCCATTTCCGCCACTCCCGTCGCCACTGCCATGGTTGGTGGTGTTCGCTGCGCCGTTGCTACCATTCCCATTAGTGCCATTTCTGTTGTTGCTACTCCCGTTGCTGTTGCTGCTTGCGCCGTGGCTGCTATTGTTCCCACTGTTGTTGTTGTTATTGTTGTTATTTCCGTTGTACGCGCTGCTGTTACAGTTGCTGCCGCTTCTACTTCTGTTGTTCTTCCCTCCGTTGCCTCCGTTTTCGTTGGCGCCTCCCCGATTGTTCTTACTATTCGCGTTGCTTCCCGTGGCTGTCGCGCCCATCCCAACTTTTCCATTATCGACATCTTTCACACCTTTGTTCAATCGATTATGATGATGTGATGTGCCCGACCCGCTGGTGGCCGCTCCACCCTTCTCATTCAGTGCATCCACATGATGGAACTTCCTCACATCATCTACGTTCCTGTCACCCTTATTGTTGCCTGCCCTGTCATGATACACATTGCTATGGATGTGATTGCCATGCATGTTATTTCCGTACATATTATTGCCGTACATGTTACTAAAAACATTGTTATAATTATTGTATGCATTTGCAAAATACCCGGGCGCGTTATTATTCGCTCCGCTTCCACCTGCTTGGGGTGCTCCCGTACCTACGGAGCCGAGCATAGAGCCATTGTTAAAATTATTCTCGCTGATTCTTCCCATATTGTTACCATCACCACCCCCTCCGCCTCTGGAAAATGTTCCCCCTTTGCTGTTATTGTAACTGTGCTTGTTCTTCATTTCGTTCATCTGATTATATGCATTCGGATACATATTGTACCCTGCACCGAACGAATCACAGAAATTAACATTTGGATACATATTGTACGGAGCGTTGTTCATGCCATAATTGTAGTAATTTAAATAGGCATCAAAGTTGGAAGGAGGATTGCTTGCTGAGCTGCAGTGTCCATAAATGCGACTGTCATATCCATTCATCGTGTTGGGAAGATAATACATGTTGTTAAAATTCATATACTGCTTTGGCCCCAGTGGCACCCCCGAATTGGGCATCATATTTAAATGGCTTCCACCCGTTCCTGCGATGGTGCCGGTAGACATCGCCGTTGGTGAGTTGTTCGTGGTGCTTGACCCGCCAGCAGCAGTGGAGGAGGAAGAAGCCATGGGCTGCACACCATTGGGGGTGGTCAAATTGGGAGAAGAAACTACTGCTGAGGAGATGGACCCAGTACCAACACCGGTTCCTGAGACATTAGCGGCATGTGTACTTCCTCCATTGATAGCGGCACCGCTGAGACCGTTAATGGGGCCTCTTCCGTTCGTTCCCATGGGAGACGCGTTCGTGTTGATGCTTCCACTGACAGCAGCAGTACCACCAGGCGCACTCGCACGAGAAACGCCACCACTCTGATTGTTTCCTCCGTTGCTGCCACTCACATTGTTACTACTCCCCATCATGGTACCCACCGACTTGAAAATGTTATTCTCTATAATGTTTTGTATCCTCTGTGTGGTCTTAATTCGAACGTTTAACTTTTTATCATTTACCGATTTGGTCTTTAAATATTGCGCTAAGGATTCCGTCTTCTTTTCATTCCTCAAGGTGATGAAGATGGTGTTATTCACGTCGTTCCTGACATTCAGAACGTCCGTCGGCTGGATATTGGGACTGCTCAGAACGATGCTTTTAATCGTGTTGATGTAATGCGAATTGATGTCTCTGATGATGATTACGTTTCGTTTATTATTCATATTCAGCAGGAAGTTTTTGTTGTCCTCTTCGAAGGCAATCTTGGTACTGCTAGCCAAATCGGCCGCACCTTTCGCCAAGTCAGTTGAGTCTTTCTCTACACCTTTATCGTTACCTTGACCTTCAATCGTTTTGCTCTTCTCTGCTGGAGAGGAGGAACTATCTCCTCGCGCTGCATCCGTCGATTCGTCTGCAACGGTGCCGTCTTTCCCATTTCCCTCTGTCGCATCAGCCTTGACCAAAGGCTTATTGGCGTCGGACTCTAACACGTTGTCTTCCCTCTTAAGTGAAGAAGAGTCCTTTACAGATCCCTCCGCATTGGTACCATCGACTGATGGTGCGACAACATTCTTATTATCTTCTTTTCCTTTATCCTCTTCTCCTTTATCTTCTTCTCCTTTATTCGATTCTTCTTCCTCCTGTTGCTGCTTCGCTTCTGCATCTTGTGCCGACGACGTGTCATTTAACTCCACATGGTTGGCCTCACCATCAATGCTTCCCTTCCCATTGGTAGTGACGACTTGCGGAGTGGTCCCCTGCGAAGTGGAGGCATCCGGATCTGCTTCCATTTTGTCCACCTCCCCTCCAGAGTCCTCCTTGTTGCCCACGTTGATGCACTTTAAATCGTTTAGCACGTTGGCCAAAATGGTCATATTATTTTGCGTGTTGCTACTAACAAGGGGGGAAATGTAGGGATGTTTAGCAATCACGTCAATACTAAGGTTCACATTATTGTACATAAAGTATAACAAGTAATCATCCGTCATGATGTTTTCCCTCCTGAAAATCTCCATCACTCTGTTCTTTATTTCGCTGTACATATTTGACGAGGTCATATTTTTGTAATTTTTCTTCTTATTCTTCTCATATAGGTACTTTTTAGTCTTCCGATTTTTCAGGCTGTCATGGTAGGGGTTGTGCCCATTAGCGTTATAGCTTGATCCACCAAAGTACATATTATTCATATTGTAGTAATAATAATTGAAGGGGACATAATTGTAGAAGTCGTTCACCATGCCGTTGTAGTTAAAGCGGGCATCATAATGGCCATCGTTGTTGTAACCGTCCGGTCCGACTGCTCCCGTGGTGGCGGCGGAAGATGCCGCAGAAGCCGCTGTGCAAGGGGAAGCGGTTGCGGGGGGGGTTGTCCCCGAGTCGCCTCCACTAGTAACTCCGCTAGTAGCTCCACTATGACCTCCACTGACACCTCCACTGACACCTCCACTGACACCTCCACTGACACCTCCACTGGGACCTCCACTGGGACCTCCACTGGGACCTCCAGTAGTACCGCCTCCACTCCCCCCTGCAGCGCTACTCCCTGTGGCGGCCCCCCCGCCGGAAGAAGACGTTCCGCCGTACATCTTGCTGGACGGATAATAATTGGATAACTCGACGTTCTTGCTATCATTCTCGTCCACGTAATAACTATAAGGATAATTGCAGCCATAGTTGGGCAGATAATTATAATTTGTGTTGTTATTATTATATATCACCATATTATTCATGGGATCCATCATCATGCCGTCATTGAGGTCGTTACTGCTGCCGTGATGGCTGAACCCGTCGTAGTTCAACGAGCTGCTATTGTGACTATTGCTGTTTATGTTGCCGCTGAAGTTGCCGTTGAAGTTGCCGCTGAAGTTGGCGCCGAAGTTGGCGCCGAAGTTGCCACCCATATTACCGCTCATACCACCGCCAACATTATTGTTGAGCATGCTGGGGGGTGGTCCCTTGTAATTCTTCCCCCCCTTCATATTGTAGTTATTCTTACTATTCTTGTGGTCATACTTATAGTTAGCTTTACCTGGGTAGCTACCCACATTTCCCTTATTCGCACCTCCGTTGCTGACGCTGGCGTTGTACCCCCCGTCGAAGTTTTTACTCTCACTTTTGACAAAGCTTCGTCTTTTACTCGGATCCTTCGCTGCCGCACTGTTGTAATCGTTCTGTTTGTCCCTACTCGCTGGGTGTTCACCGTTCACGTTGTTGGCTTTGCCGTACTGGTACAGCACCCCGTTGTTCTTGGCGCTTTCGAGGTTACCATCGTGGTTGCTACTGCCATGGTTGTCATTGCCGTTATTGTTATTTTTGCCACTCCTCCAATCATTGTTCGCACTAAAGCTTCCGTAGTATGCGGTGTTGCCGGAGGGGTCGCTCTTGTCCGACTTGTTCCCAGGCTTCTTCTCCTTCACAGCTTTTCCGTGACCCGGGGCAGTGTCGCTTTTTCCGCTACCGCCGCCGACACCGCCGACATTGCCAACACCGCTAACGTTGTCGTTACTCGTGATGGCAGAGGCATTGCTGCTCTCTTCGAACTTTCCCTTTTCGATGTTTCCTCCGTCCGTGCATTGGTTCTCCTTCTTCCTCGCGGCGCCACTTCCGTTTCCTACGCCATCCACGTTAGGAATCTTATTATTTTTTTTTTTCTTTTTCTTGTCCTCCTCCTTGTCGTCCTTTTGATTATTATCATTCTGGTTTGCCTCCTCCACCTTCAATTCATCACCCTTATGGGTGTTGTTATCCTCTTCCTTCTCCTTCTTTACGCTTGACATGCACTTGGCTTGGCTCTTTTCATTTCCATTCTTCTCCAGCTCATTACTCCTATCGCCACACTTATCCTCGCTTGCATTTCCGCTGTCTTTAACTTTTTCGTCACTACCTTTGGCTGTTCCGCTGTTTTTCGCAGCCTTCTTTTTGCTTGCGCCGTTGGTGCTGTTCTCTCTGCTGCTGTTCATTTTTTCTTTTCTTTTTTTTGACGTGAGAATGTTTAAAAGATTGTCGAATTGTTTAAAATGGGGCAGAGAGCCGCGACGACAAACGGGAGGGGACTACACACATACAGGTGTGTACGGTATATGCACGTAGGTACGTTTAGATATGTACGTATATGTACACAGATGGGAGTAATATAGAACGGGGTTGACGCGGGCATGTAAAGACGCACAAAAATATACCTGTACAAGTTGTCTCCGAGAAGGATATTTCTGCTCGGTCAGGCAGGTATATGCGATTACTCACAATTATACATACACACGCGTGCTATTGTAACAAGGTACTCCTCTCTGTGATGTACGCTCTCGCATGTAGATTATGTAGAACATGCGTGGATAGCAGGTTCGAACAGATGTTCCACTCAAGCCTTCGCAACTGCATATGTGTAGACGGAGAGGCGGTGATGCAGTCGCACAAACAATACAGCTGAATGTGGACACGCACACATTCGCGAACGAATCTTTTTTTTAAAGTCTACGTAAGTATGTTCGTATTTATGTATGTATGTATCTACGCATATATGTAAGTATGTATGTTGTTTTTTTTTGTTCTTTTTTTTTATTTTTTTACTTTCTCATTTACTTATTATCCTAGTGGAAACATTGAACGATAGGCTAAAATGCTCGTGCAGAAGGGGTATATATTAAAATAAAGGGGTAAAATGTGAATTTTTTTTTTTTTAATTTCATTAATAAGTTGTTTAATGAGGATTGCATAACACAAGCGCTCTTGACTCATCTCACATATTTTCTCTGATTTTTTTTGGGGCAGCTATTTTTCTTTGTTTTGTTATTTTTTGTTGTTTTTTGTGACTATTTATTGTTGTTTTTTACTTTTTTCTTTTTGCTTTTTACTGCTTTTTATTGTTGTTATTTTTTTTTTTTTTGGGTATACATAACAATTGGGGGGAGCGCGCAGTGTAGACCCCTTCTATATATTCGGGGGGTACACAGGACAGAGGTGGCACACAACGCGGCGACATACACTCGCATAAATGCGGAGGTGTACGCGCCTAAGGAAGCATATGTACGTACTTATATATATATTTATTTATATATATTTGTACAAGCACATATGCACACGCGCGCCTTTAGGCGTACGCTTCACACGCAGACGTCCATACACGCTGATAAGTACGGACTCGACTTTGAGACGCACAGAGGGGCATACACACAGGGAGAGCGCGTTCACGTATATGGCCCCTTATTGCGTTACACAAACTTGCGCGTTATATAGCCTCTCAATTTGGCATATTTTGCATGCTTATAAAGTTATAAGCATGAAAATACATAGAGGGGGAAAATGAAACGAAGGGGTGGAGAAAAGAAAACAATGTTGAAAAAGGGGGGGAGGAAGGAAACAAATTGAAACAATTTTGTTCCTCTTAATTATAACAATCTGTAACGTCCATTTAACACATGTACGAGCGGTAAACATAGAACTGGGGGCATATATACGTCCGCGCGCACGGAGATATGCACATGTACACACATACATATATGTAGGCATATACGTGGGGCATATGCACATCTATATACTTATACATGCATACAGACGTGTACGCGAATACTCGATGGCATATTCACTCGTTCATCTTACAAGAGAGTAAAAACGAGGACGGTTCATTCGGGGAAGTACTACAACCCAGGGCTGCTCTTTCGGTCCCTTTATGCTGTAAAGAGGTACGATGTGCGCGTAGGCGGGATCGGGCAACGTAAAGCGGTGTGAAGCGGCACAAAGCAGCGTACATACAGCGTGCATATTATCATGTACGTATGCATGTATGCACTCCACTGCTACATCCCTCTTCACGCGCAAGCAAAATTACTCGCTCTAGCAGTTATATATCACTGAAATTGTTCATCACGCTGGGCAGTACTTAATGGCATATCGCATAGCCGCGTTTGCATGCTCGCAGTAAGCATTTTAAAAGGAGCAGCATTCGCCACGTAGATGTAGTTATCCCTACATGCGCAAATGTGAACATAGGGAAGGGTGCCCAGAAGGCAGTACGATGCAGGTAGCGCCCTCAAGGTAACACCCAGAAGGTATAACCCAAAGGGCAAAACCCAGAAGGGGCCCAAAATGTACTCAAAAATGTACGTACAAATATGTAGCACAGGCAAACACGAACGCGCGCATTTGCTGCTATATAAACTCGCTAAAATATCATTACAAACTTTTGGGGGCGTTCACAAAGGATGTACGCAAGGAGAAAACTGAGATTCCTATAAAAAATGAAACACATGTTTTTTTTTACTGCTGCAGTTATAACGCTTATTTAATTTGTCGCGACTGGTCGCAAACTTTTCGCGAATCTTACAAAACTGAATGACCTCGCTTCACAAATTAAACGTTCAACATTGATATATGTCAAAGCGGGCACGGCGCATATGCAAGTTTATGGTTAATTACAAAGTGAAGAAATGCGCGCATCGGCATATACCAACATTTGCTATGCAGGTGAGATATGGTATGCATACGTAACGCTATACAAGAGCATCGTTATGCATATGCGTTATTATGCTCATTTTAACTTCGCGCAAACATGTTAACATGCACGATTGCTCGCTTATACGCGCAGGAAACGCAATCTCATTCTTTTGCGTGTTTTCCTTTCTGTTTTTTTTTCCTATCATACGTGTATGTATATAATATATATATCATACATAATACGTGACATCATGCATTACATACCGTATGGTTACACGTAACATGTATAACCTGGAAAGTACATTTTTACGCGCGCTTTATTCAAGCATCCCTTTTTGCGCCGTATTTTAAGGAAGGCATAAAAGAAAAAAAAAATGCGCTAAAGAAAAAGTCGTGCCTCTTATTTATTTTATTATCAAATGGTAAAGAAGTAGTACAGAGAAAAAAAAATCGTGCATGATTTTGAAGAGTAACTTTTATTTTTCTCGCACTTGGTGCGCGGTATCCACAGCACATAATATATATTATATGAGTCAATCTTTAGCATAAATATATCTACGTACGTATCGTGAATTAGCAAAGCGAGTTTTTTGTGTAAACGCACGGGGCACATGCGCATAAATGCATACCACGCATTACGTACATATTATGCGCATAATAATATGCTGCATTATATATATGCGTACTTGGACCAATGCGCAGATTTTTCTTTTCGCCCCCTACGCGTATAATAAAATGTATATAATATGTATATTATATATGCGTATTTAATTTATATGCATATTTATATATACCCATCCGAGTGAACTTCAGAGAGGGAACTGCCAAAATAGGGACAAAACGATTAAGCACATTCCTTAACAAATGCGAACGGTATGCATAAAAGTCCGCGGGCGGTACGCATACGCGCGATGTATATAATAATGTGGTAAAATACTATAGGCGCGCGGGACGAAATGTAATACAAAACGATTCATGAATATATGTACTTGCGCACTGTTCCTATGCAGGTAGCGCGGTACATGCATGCTTATACGCGCGCCATGTAAAGGCACAGTAATATACATACGATTTAGTAGGCACAAGGAGATGGATAAAATTGCCTGCGCGCTTGGGAGGGACATACAGGTATGCATTTAAAGTATTCTATACGTTATGTTGTTCATGTTATTATGCGCGTATTTACTAGGCATATTTTATGCCACGTGAAGGCACGTGCGCGTAGGTACAATATATACTCTCACGCAGGTATGCGAGAGTCGATATATAAACGTGCTAATCGTGCGAGGCACGTCATTCCGTTCTCCGTGAAAATGGTTTGCCGTGCGGGGGTAAACTTCTCCTTTAGATGCAGAGAAATTATGAAACAAAAAAAACAAAATTTTAACAAGGGTTTGAAAAGTAAGAAAGGGGGGTTAGATTCTAATGTGTGAATGGGTATGTATATATAAGTACGTATGTGATATACAATGTGCAGTATGAATACGCGACGGGTTTTATATGTAGGGCGATAAAACGCTACTTTGCTTCGCAAGGGGGGGATGTAAAGGGGGAAGCCACTGCTTAAGTTAAAAGAAAGAAACGCGCATTTAATGATGGCAAATAAAAACAGTGCTATCAACGGATGGGTCGCACTCCGTTGTGCACGCGTCATATGGATACAATAATTATAGATGTGCAACTGCGCTACATTTATCGCGTACGAACGGCGGGCATATAATAACATGGTATAATATAATATTACATTATATTACGTTATATTACATTATATTATATACCGAGCATATAATCACGCATATATAGATAACGTTGTAACGCGTTTCACATTGACAAAAATGCACGTGTCGGCCGGCTTCCATCCCTTGCCACTACTCAATTTAGCACTTAAAGCATCTTCATTGCGGGGCACTCGCCTTACTAAGGAAAAAAAATGAAAGGCGAAATGCGTTCGTATCAACTTGAAAAATATGTAAAAATTGAAAAAAGTATGCAGCACATAATGGGGCTGAAAATTCTGGATCAGAAAATAGCATAACTTTTCAACAGGGGAAGGTAAAAAAAGAAAAAAAAAAACAATTAAAAAAAAATGTATGTACTATTTATGTATACCTCTTTCTACCGTTAACCATGTGATATTTGCATTAAGGGCCACTTTTTTTAAAATTATGCGTATTGAAACAGTACGTATACGCTACATACATGTACAGCATAATATCATAGCACAAGTTACGTTGGCATGTTTTTTTTTAAATGTCCGATGTGAAAGCACCCACGGGGGTTCACGCAGCAAAAAATTGGGCAACCATAAGCAATCACAAAAAGCAAAAATGATTATGCATTTGTCCATGTGCACGATGGATACATAAGGAATGATAAGTACCATGCAGCGTACACATACTCTGCGCATTAATCGCCTGTGCGCTCACAATGTTTGAGGCATCTCTTCCGCTGGTGCAAACAGGCACCAACAATGCTGCATATAATTGTAATAAATAAGGAAAAAGTGCTTATTGCGTAACAAAGAAAGAAG